ACCCCCGGTGGCAGGGGGGCCCTTGATCCCCACCCAGCCACCGGTCTCCCCCACCCTCTTCCTCCCTGGAGAGGTGCCTTCAGGACAACAAGCAGGCGGGCAGTGCCCCATCCTCCCCACCACACCTTGCAACAGTGCTGACAGGACGCAGCAGCGGTGAGGAGGAGGAGGAGGAAGCGGAATGGCTGCCGCCACGGCTCCCTCCCCAGAGCCCTGACAGCCAGAGCTGGGTGGGAAGCAGCAGGCGGCGTGCCGTGACCATCCTCCTCCCCCTCCAAGCACCACCTCCGGCTCCCTGCACTGAGTACACTGCACATGCACTCCCTCGGATCATCTTGTGCACCCCCTCAGATCGTCTTGCGCACCCCACTTTGGAGACCACTGTGCTAGGTAATAACTTGATAGGATTCCAAGCTCGTAAAACAAAGAGGTCTTTTTAAAGAAGTGCTGCAACTTTCGGTAGCATTTTAGCCTTCTATCCCCTTGAAGGAAAGATCTAGCCCCGCTGTTGCTGCACTGCTGCTGCTGCCTGTCTCCTGAGTAAGAGGCCTGCCCCATTAGGACTAAGAACTTTCAGCTGCAGGTGTTGCCTGCAGCCATTACCAGGTGCGGGCTTAAAGCCAGGAGGCCGCGCCTGGTGGCGGGCTGCTGCTGGCGGGCCACCCCAAAGGGGTGAGCCAAAGGGGGCTGCCCTTTCGGGGAGCCCTTTGGGGGCAGACTGAGGGCGAGGGTGTGTGTTGTGGTGGTGGTAGTTTTGTGTGCTATAGTATAATTTTTGTGTGTGCTGGTGAGAGATCCGGACTGTCCAGCCAAGGGGAACGTAGTTTAGACAGTTATGTCCTTTTCCTTGTTCTGGTCCTGTTTCCAGCCCCAGTAACTCTGGGAACTTTAATACCTGGCCATCAGCTTTGAGGGTGCTGCTGCTGAATGCCAGGTCGGTATCCCTGGATACCGCTGTCATCCATGATTTAATTCTGGATGAAGGGGCCAACCTGGCTGGGAGTAGAGGGAGGCGTTGATCTTTCCCAGTTGTGCCTGGCTGGGTTCTCAGTACAGCACTAGCCGCGGCTCAATGTTCGGGGAGATGGAGTGGTCTATCAAGCTACCATCTCACTGGCTAGGGCCTTGGTCCAACAAAGTGTTAGAATTGTCTTTCTAGTCCCCTGTGCTGTTTAACGTCTACATGAAGCTGCTGGGAGAGGTCATAAGGAGTTTTGGAGGACGGTGCCATCAATATACAGATGGCCCCCAACTCTATTTCCCTGTGACATCAGAACCAGGTGTGGCGGTGACTGATCTAAACCAGTGTCTGGAGGCGGTGATGGTTTGGATGAAGTCAAACAAGCTGAAGTTGAATCCAGATAAGACTGAGGTCAAGTAGATCAGGAGGTCGTCTGTTCGGTAATGTGGTGTGGTACCTGTTCTAGGCGGGGTTACTGTCCTCCTGAAAGAACAGGTACGCAGTGTGGGGGGACCCTTTTTTAACATTTGAGAACCAAATTTCTTCAGTGGCCAGGAGTGCTTTTGGGCAACTTCATCTGATCTGCCAGCTGCGCCCCTTCCTGAACAAGCCTTACTTGGCCACAGTGATTCATGCTCTTGTTACATCCCGACTGGATTACTGTAATGCACTTTGTGAGGCTGCCTCTAAACAGCCTTCAAAAACTTTAACTGGTCCAGAATGTGGCTGCTTGAATTTTGACTAATACCTGTTATAATACCACATTATGCCAGTGCTCTGGCAGCTGCACTGGCTTCCAGTATGTTTCCGGGCACAATTTAAGGTGTTGGTTATGACCTATAAAGCCCTAAATGGGTTAGCTCTGGGGAATCTGAAGGACTGTTTTCTCCCATGTGAACCTGCCTGGGGGATCGAGGTCAGTTGGAGAGGCTCTGCTCAGTGTTCCCCCTCTTATGGAGATAAGATTAACATCAACACGGAACGGGGCCTTCTCAGCTTTTGCTCCCAGGCTGTGGAATTCTCTTCCTTGTGATAGTCACATGGTGCCAACGCTAACATTATTTAGGAGTCAGGCTAACGCCACCCTTTTTACTCATGCTTTTATTGCTGTTTGAGTTTGTATGTGTATGTTCCTCTTCTCAATATTTTTTAGCAGGTTTTATGTCCCTCTGGGGTCTCGTATTTTAATTTTTTATATATGTTTGTATTGTGTTATAAAATTTTGTAAGCCACCTAGAATATTTTAAATAGAGAGGTGGGGCAAAAATATTTAAATAAATAAATATTCTGACTGATTTATCGGATGCCTCTTCTGAGCTCTTCCCTCCTGAAGCCTGGAGTCATCCTTCCATTCCCTGCAGGTTGCTACAGACAAAATTCTTAAGAAAATTCTTTATATTAAACTGTTATATCAGAACTATATTGAAACAGTTGTTTGTCTGCAACTTCTACTCATGTTAATAGGACTGTTTCTTGATAGGTAAGATAGACCTATTACAGGCAATGCTGTACTAATGATTGTAAACATCTCTTTGATCAACATGTCATTAAGCTACACATATCTCAGTATTGTTTTAAGAAAATTATCTGATATTTTTAAGTACAGTGCTAAATGAAAACATCACTTTAGTCTTTAGGATAAATTGCTTGAAATCACATTAATTTTTGAATGCCGTTTGAGATTTTTCAGGCACTTCATTCATAGGCTATTTAGTTCAGTTTAAAAAAGAAATTGAAAGAGGCTGTCAGGTACAAATATGTATGTGTCTGAATGGCGAGATTGAAAATATTCATAAAGATCTAGAAAAGGAAATATACTGTTGTGAATTTTAAGGTAAATTTGTATATTGTACTTAAGTTTAAAAAGCAGATATTAAATGTTTAATTGACTTGCTCCGTAAGAATTGGAGAAAGCTAAATTTTTGCACGGTAGGGATCAGATTTAGCTGGTTATTGGTTCCAGTACTGTTTATGAAATGATAGCCTACGCCGCAAAAGTTACACTTTATATTTGGGGATCTTACTCAGGTCATATCTACACCAGGGGAGCAAATCAATGTAAGATACTCAATTCCAGCTATGACAATTGTGTAGCTGAAGTCAACAAACCTTCCATCAATTTTTATGGTATGGCTCCATAACAGGAGGTTGACAGGAGATACTCTTACATCAACTTCGCTCATTCCTCACAGCTGTGAGGAATACTGCGGTCAATAAGGGCACCCACAGTGTTCATTTTAGCAAGTCTTTACTAGACCTGCTAAATCGAACCCTGGAAGATCAATTGCCGGAGCGACAATCCTCCAGTAAGTATAAACAAGGCCTCAGAATTTTTTCATTACTCTTCCTAAACTAAACTTCTCTGCTCCAAAAATGCAGCTCTTCTCCTAACTAAGAGAAGTGACATCTGTGAAGTCTTGGCCCTGGTGTTTTTTTAAAAGTTATAATCAATATTTGTATGTAAGGGTCTTGGTAATAATGATAATCAGTCTGTGTTACCCGTTCCAACAGACTTGGTCCATTTTACCTGCTCATCAACTAAAACTGCTAAAGAAGATTTAGAGCCTATTGTACAGAAGCTATTCTCCCTAAATTCTGAAACTGAGAGAGGTAAGGAAAATAGATGTATTATGGGAAAAATTTGTCTTTTGAATTTTAACACGTCTTCTACTGAACATCTGAATGTACCATCAAGATGAAAACACATACAGTGATCTCCACTTATTTGGGTATCCATGTTCTAAAGTTAAAGGAATGGATTCAATATATATTTTTAAGTGACATTTATCTATCTCTTACCTTGACTATGATGTAATAGTCTTGGATAGAGCATCAGACATTGTTTAGGTCCAGTAGGTCAGCATGAGCAGAGCAAGACTTTGGGAAAATGCTCCTTCCCACTCCCCCCATGCTTTCTTCATTTCTGCATATTTATATTCAATGTTTATATTTCTAACAAATATTTCCTTGCATAGGAAAGGTTTGTTTAAAAGACCAACAAAAATATGCACTTAGACACCAGTACTGAAACATCAGGGCAACTACTAATGCACTACTTGTATGCCATTTTTCCCTTATTCTTCCTTATTTCTTATGAGGACAACCATTATTTTACTGTTGGCATTCCCAAGGTAAAATAAAATCTCAATGGGCTTGTGATTTACTTTTCCATTCTGATTCCCTAAAGCAATCTGTGCTGTGTGCAATTTTTTTAAGGTGCTCATTTCCTTTCTCTTATCCCTTCTCTTAAATCGCTTCTTGTCTTTGTCTTCATCATTTTCCTCCACTTCTCTTGTTTACTGTTTATAACTGTAGTTCCTCTTCAAGTGATGTCCCCATCGATGCTCCACTGTTGATGATAGGTTGTCCTGGGGCTGTAGATTGGAACTTTTCCAGAGCAGGTGTCAGGTGGGCCATGCATGTGCGACAGGCACTTTGCGCTGTTTGCAATTTGACACCCAAAACACGCCCTCAGTCATGGATGGAGCTCCTTTCTCGCCTTGGGCATTTGTTTTCCTCAGATGGTTTACTTTGAGTTTTATTAGTTTTTAGTGTTGTTCCTTATTACATACATTATTGTTCTGTTTAAACAAAAATGTTTTTTCATTTGAGGGAACCACGGGCCAGGCAAACTGGCCCCCCATCCTGTTACATTCTGCAAACAAAATTATTAATAATAATAATAACAACAAAATCAAACAAACAGAAACAACAAACATATGACAAAGGAAGACAGAAAGAGTATAATACAAGGCAGGAAGCCAAACTGCCACACAAAAAATCGCAGTCACCGTCAGAAGCACAATGCTGGGTTTGCTGGAATTTAAGAAATGTGAGGCATGTGGGGATCCCATGCCTGTCTGACAGACACTCATCGTGTATATGCTGCTTGGGGGAGGCTCATTTACCACAGAAATGTGAGCACTATCGCAGTCTTACCACAAGAGCTAGAAAAGACAGGGAGCTTTGGCTCTGCATGATTTTATTCAAAAAAGCTAGTCAGCCCTCATAAGACCCAGAGTCCTCTTGTCATCCTATAGAGGCTAACAAGGAAAGGTCTCCTCCCCCCCAAAAGCGCCTAAGGAGGAGAACTGCTCCTGCGAGGTCCCTTCCCCCTACTCTGTCTCCAAGAGTCAGCAAGGGAGACGAACCCAACACCTCTGGTGCAGCGGTGCCAAGACCACCAACCGGCACCACCTTTGTTACCGCCCGCAATGTCTCGGTGCCGACTTGCTCATCATCAGCACCAGAAAGATCTCTCAGACAATCCCTGGTACCAGCACTAATACATGACCTGGTGCTGACCAAGACCTCAGCAAAGACACGTAAGTATGCGCACCGCAAACCTCCAGTGCCAGCTTCCACAGAGCCATTACCAGACACAATGTTCCTTCCCTTGGGAGTCCCAGCACGGGCAGAAAACATGCTGCAATAGTACCGATCAGCACCACCAGATTCCCTTTATCCCCCACCTGCACAGGACAGACACAGAGAACAACATGAGTCCTTCCCTCCATCTAGGGAGCCATCTCCAGCACAGTTCTCCCCATATGTTTCACCAAGGCTTGTGAATTCTCCTGTGCTGTCAGAGCTGATGGGATTCGGGGAAGATGATTGTAGGAGTGTTTTCTCCTCCTGACAATCCTCTCCTACTGCTTCCAGGCATTATTACTATCACTGTGACAAACATCACTCCTCATGGTACTTGGACTGGCCATATCCTCCTCCACACTATCCACCCTACTGGCCACCATGGGGACATTGGGGGTCCCGCAGGTGCCGCTTCTCAGCTCCTTCCATCCCAGTGAGGAGGCCTCCACCATTCTTGCCCCATTGTACCCTCCTGACCACAGTCGACTCAGAGGAGAGGAGGGCTAGATCCCAGATGAGCAGACTGACATACCAGCTAATAACAACTCATCATCACTACCTGATGAAGCTGTTATACCAGAAGATACATACCTCTCACGCAACCTCAAACAATTCCAAGAACTTTTCAAAAGTGGCCACCTCCCAAGAGGTCCAACTACAGGAGGTTAAGGAAAAACAACACTGCCTCCTTAAAAATATTCAGCTCACCTCTCAAGGGAAAGTCGCACTACCAATCGATGAGGCTATTATGGAGGCATCAGATGAGATGTGGCAGACTCCAGCCTCCATCCAACTGACCTCTAAAAGAGCCGATAGAAAGTACTTTGTTTCTCCTAAGGATCTTGATTTCCTTTTCTCTCATCCACTGCCCAACTCGCTAATAATGGACGCTGCTAATAACTGATCCAAGATTCCGCAGTTCAGATCCACACACAAAGAACACAAAAAGTTAGACATGTTTGGTGGAAAAGTATCGTCCTCTGCCACACTACAGCTTAGAATTGCAAACTATTTGGTGCTTCCAGTAAACCACAATACTGATAATTACTCTAAGCTAATCGAGCTAATGGTGCACCTCCCAGACTCCAAAAGGCCCATATTTAAAATAAGTACTCATGAGGGCCACACCATCACCCACACAGCTCTTCAGTCCTCACTCGATGTGGCAGACATGGTGTGATGGGCTTCATGGCTCCAGGCAGCAGGAGTGCCCAGAGAACTGCAATCTAAAGTGGAGAATATCCCCTTTTACAAGCAGAAACTTTTTGAAGCCAAGACGGATGATGTCCTACATAGCAGCAAAGATTCCAGAACTACTCTTAGGACTCTGGGTATATATACCCCACCATCTCGTTGGAAGCGCTATACACCTTACAGTAGAACAAGGATAGCTATTCTAACCGTCCACAGCAGAAGCCCCATGACTTTAACCGAACCACACAGCATCCCCAGATGAAGTGTCCTCCCCAGTCTTGCTCCTCTGGTTCCCAGGCTGCCAAACAGCAGATTTGAACCTTTGGTCGAGGGTCTGCCAGACCTCTCCATTTGGTCAGTGCCAACAAGCCAATACTATCTTTTCACCCATAGACTACATTCCTTCCTCCACTACTGGGACTCTGTATCATCGGACCAGTGGGTGTTAGATATCATCTGGAGAGGATACACCATTCCCTTCATTTCACTACCCCCTAGCCTTCCTCCTACCCCATCTCTCTTCGGGAACCCCTTTCATGAAACTACTCTCAGGCAAGAAATCAATCGCCTCCTCCATCTAGGAGCAATAGAGAGGGTCCCAGACTCGTTCCCTGAGAAATACACACAGGGTTGGAGACAGATTGGGGATCTCCACAAGTTAAACAAGTTTCTGAGAAAACAATATTTCAGAATGGATTCATTAGTTTCTATTATCCCAGCACTGGACGAGGGGGACTAGTTCGCAACCCTCAACCTACAGGACACATGTTTTCACCTGGCAATACATCCCTCTCACAGATGCTTCCTCAGATTCACCATGGGCAAGGACCATTTCCAATAGAGTTCTCCCCTTCAGAATTTTTCTGCTTCTCGGGTCTTTTCAAAGTTCCTGGCAGTAGTAGCAGCTTACCTCAGACACCAGGGTATGGTCATTTTCCTGAACCTGGACGACTGCCTTATAAAAGGGCAATCTCATGTGGACACCACCAGTATGGTCTCCAGGACCAAATGCCTCTTCTATCATCAAGGCCTACTCTTAAACAGCCGGAGTCCACTCTAGAGCCTGTCAGGACATAAGAGTTTATTGGGGCCCACCTCGATTCCTTGTCAGCTTGAGTTTATCTTCCACATCAGAGTTTCAATGCACTGCAGGACCTGGTGACGATTCTTTCCATGAGCCCCTCTACTACCACACTTACCTGTCTCAAGCTTATGGACCATCTGGCTGCCACTACCAACATTGTACAGCCCGCTTCCTCACCTTACAACATTGGCTAACAATATATACAATGCATCGCGCCATCCACTTAACAAAGTAGTTATTATTCCCAAAAGCATGTTGCATTTGTCAAATGGTGGACATCATCCAACAGTCTCCTAGCTAGAGTCCCCTTCCATCAGCCTGAACCAACAATGCAGATCACCATGCAAATCACTCCCCATTAAGCTGGAGCACTCATCTACACCAACACACTGTTCAGAGACGGCAGTTGCCCCACGAAACAATATTACATATCAATCTCCTCGAGCTCAGGGCC